TAGAATTATAGATATATATATAAATAGTATTTGCATGTTGAATATTCCAAACTAGATAAGCAAAAAACATTACAGCAGTAACACAAAATGTTTATTCATATACAATATATATATATTTTCCAAGTACAACTTTAATTTCATCTGTATATTTATAGATAATAACTTGAAACTGGTCTAGTTATAAAAGGATCAGAAAACGGAACTTATGAACAATAATCATAGTCATTAACTACTAGAAACGTTTTTGCTGACTCTTGGTGGTGGTGGGTGGGGGGGGGGGTGTAGCTTGATTAAACTGTTCATTAACCCGGCCCTGACGATGAAATAAAGTTGGAGGGAATTAGTAGAAGTTTATTCGAGGGGATATTAATAAGTATTTCACTACTATTATGGTAAATATTTAACGAAAACTTTAGACTTAAAACAGATTATTCTAGAATTGACAACAGGACAGAATCTGCTTTTTAAGTTACTTGAAGAATAAAGGACTGGCATTAAGCTATGAGTTTATGCTTGTTAGAAAGCACGTGTATTCATCTATATGTTACCACGTTTTCAGTAATTTTTAAGCAGTGGCTGAGAATGACTGGCATATACTTTTTAAGCAATAGAACATTGTATCTTTAGTGCCGAGTTTAGTGTATAAAGTGTAAGTGCACATCAGATTCTAAATATACAGTACTTTTGTCCTCAGGATATTGTGTCTTTAGTGCCCAGTTTAGAGTATAAAGTGTAGGTGTACATCAGAATTCTAGACATACAGTACTTTTGTCCTCAGGATATTGTGTCTTTAGTGCCCAGTTTAGTGTATAAAGTGTAAGATTCTAAATATACAGTACTTTTGTCCTCAGGATATTGTGTCTTTAGTGCCCAGTTTAGAGTATAAAGTGTAGGTGTACATCAGAATTGTTATAATAAAGTTTCATTCATTTTTACGTAGCAGTAAAGAATGCAAGACATATTTTTTTCTCCACTTCAAATAACTATTAACAACGTGTAAGAGTTGAATACAAGTTACTGTAATCATTGATATGTCAAAATCTAGACAAATGATAAGACTTGTGTTAACAAACAGTCTCACAAAGTTTCTCAATTCTGTCTATTGAGTTTTGACTTCCTGGCTGACCTCCACACTCTCTATTGATTTTAGTCTTACTTTCAGAAATTTGTGTTAAGAAAACAAAGATGTTTTCTTTTTAAGTGTGAGACCTTCCTATTATTTTCCTGTTGCAAGCCCCTGAGAAAAATCTACAGAATGATTTTTTGCAGAATTTAGTTGCATTGTGTAAAGTATAAAGTAAATAAATTGAATTATGAGGACAAAAGTACTGTATATTTAGAATCTTACACTTTATACACTAAACTGGGCCCTAAATACACAATATCCTGAGGACAAAAGTACAGAGTATCTAGATGAATACATGTACTTTGAAACCAGCATCAATTCATAGCAATTCCTTTAGTGACTAATAATCTATCCCATAATGGCTTTCTTTTTAAAACTTCTTAGCTGTAATATATGTTCTTGTTAGACAACATAATTTACTAGTGAAAACAAACAATATTTTAATGCTAGTTAAATATTTGCATAATACAGAAAGTTGTTTTTGTGTTTGTTTTTTTCTAGCAACACAGAATTATTGGTAT